AAACACTCAAAAAAAAAGTGTTTAATTTTAAAATATTAAAATATTAAAATATTAAAATATTAAAATTTTATTCTTTGTCTCCATTTTTTAAATGCTTAAAGATATTTTAGTTTTAAATCTTTTATCTCAATATAGACAAAATATTGTATTTGAATTTGAAACACTATGCGTTTTCAATCCAAACACATAGTATTTTGTTTATTGAAAAAGTTTAAAACTAAAACGTCTTTAAGTGTTTAAAAAATGGAGATAAGAATAAAACATTTTAATATCTTAAAATTAAATACTTTTTCTAACAGTGATAATCGAACCAATTACTTCTGTATGAGAAAACAAGTGTTCGCAACAATTTCTTAAAATGATGAAAAAAAAATTCTTATTTCGTAAAGTAATTGCACCGTTGCGATTTTCGTCGCGAGCAGAGAAAGCAGGCTTGGATAAGGTTTCTGGAAACTGATGCAAGGCTTCGCTCGTCATTGTCAATTTCTCTTCGCGCTAATTGCGCACGTTTCACTCCCGCGTACATGGACGCACGCACACACGTGGATGGGATGACAAATAAAAATAATCTCTGGAATCCTCTTAGGCCGGTATCAGATTATGCATTGAAGAACGCGATTGAAGATTGAAAGACTGAAGTTTGCCTAATCAGAACAAGGGAGCCAAAACTTCTTTGTCTCCATTGAAATTTCAATCCTTAATCTTTAATCTCAATCTTCAACACAGTCTGATTCCGGCCTTATCAGCCTGCATAACAAATCTTCATTCACTCTGTAAATACACACAAGCCAGATACATTTAAAAAGATCGTACATTATCTGATAACGACAGCTTGCAAAATAATAAAAATGCTAAGTCATTGTCTTGGGCTTATATCATTCGCGGAAATAATCGAAAGGAAGAAATAATCAAGTCCTACATGAAGCGTAATCTTTTGACGTGTTCTGAGTAATCATTTTAAAAGTCATTTATTTTCGCATGTGCTCAACACAGTATACGGTCGGAAGAATTAAAAAATCTGATGCATCATGTCAACTCATCCGTCACACCTTCTAGACTAGATTTATAATTTATTCTTATTTCAGTCTTAAATAATGGGGCGCGTTCAAGTCGACAAAGCAATTAGGTCTGCTCACCAAGTAATTAAACATGATTGATTGGATCCACAGGTAAGAATCAATTATGCTCATTCGCTCTGCAAGCATGCCTAGCTGCCTCGCCATCTTGAACTCGTTCGTAACCCATTGTTTTAAAATGCTACTTAATATGCTTTTCTAATTGAGTTCGGTGATATATATAATGCGTATATATAATGCGTAATATATAATACACGAAGTAAGAAGAGTAAGAAAGTGATCTATTATAGTCGAATGTCAGAAGAATAATCGTAATTGTATAGTCAATTTCTTCTCCGTGTGTATTGTAAACAACGCATTATAACTTAAGAGAACTATATAAATATATATAT